GGGCCCAGCGGCGACAACGCGCGCCGCAGCCCCTTCTGGAGGCTCTGAGTACTGCGCCTGCCACTGCAGAGAGCGAGGGGGGCCCATCGGCGACAACGCGCGCCGCAGCCCGGCTCTGGGTACTACGCCTGCCACTGCAGAGATTCTGGAGGCTCTGGGTACTGCGCCTGCCACTGCAGAGAGAGAGGGGGGCCCAGCGGCGACAACGCGCGCCGCAGCCCCTTCTGGAGGCTCTGGGTACTGCGCCTGCCACTGCAGAGAGAGATGAGGGCCCAGCGGCGACAACGCGCGCCGCAGCCCCTTCTGGAGGCTCTGGGTGCTGGCGACAACGCGCGCCGCAGCCCCTTCTGGAGGCTCTGGGTACTGCGCCTGCCACTGCAGTGCGTGAGAGTGAGTGAGTGAGTGAGCGAGCGAGTGAGTGAGTGAGAGTGAGTGAGTGGGTTGAGTGAGTTGAGTGAGTTGAGTGAGTTGAGTGAGTGAGTGAGTGAGTGAGTGAGCGAGTGAGTGAGTGAGTGAGCGAGCGAGCGAGCGAGCGAGTGAGTGAGTGAGTGAGTGAATTGAGTGAGTGAGTGAGTGAGTGAGTGGACGGCGTGAGTGAGTGAGTGAGTGAGTGAGTGGATGAGTGAGTGAGTGAGTGAGTGAGTGAGTCGACGGCGGGAAGGAGCGAGGGACGGAGGGAGGGACGGGCGGGCGGGCGGGCGGGCGGAGTCGGGCGGGATGGCAGCCAAAAAACTAGAACCCCACACAGAGATGTGGGGAAATACTTGCACAGTTTTCATAAGAAGATCGATGGGTGTGAGATGAGCGTGAGGCTCAAAGGTACCAAAATACACTGTGGCACGGGAAGGGGCCCATGAACCATTACGGTGCTTGCCAGCACTGGAACGGTTCAACAGCATGGTATGGGGCAAAGTCTGAGCAGTGCCATCAAATGGGCGGTGTCGGCAGCGTTTCGACCCCGGATGTGATAACCTGTCAGCCACCGGCAGGTGACTCAGAGATGTGTGTCACTGAATCACAATCGATTGAATGGAGGGGATACAAGTTGTAGATTCGTTGCGAGACACCAGATCAGAGATGAGAGACTGAGAGGAGACTGAGAGTAGACTGGATTCGATGGGTTTCAGGGAATCTGTTCAAAAAGCATGTTGTTTTTTGTTTTCTTCGTTGGAGTGAATTGCTAGGCTTCGTAAAGCAGATGGGCTGTGTAACATGTGTTGTTGGGCAGGCAATTGGCCGACTATGTTTTGCATGGCTAGTGTTACAGGATGTACCATACAGATGCCATGCAGATCTATTCAGCAATGGGCCTTGCACGATCATGGGCATATGGTGAACCTTTGTCGTGGAGCTGAGAGTGCCTGTTGTATATCTTTTGGTTGAAATGCAACTGGACTCACTATATAGACTCTGTTTGTTGGAAGCAAAGTCAAAAGTTGGTTTGCTCTTGCAGCAAAACATTTGATGGGAAGCAACAAACTTCCCGGAGCGTGATTTCCAGTCCCTTTTCGTATCGGTCGAACATCACTTCTCTTGTTGTCACACACCCGAGAATTCATCTGTGCGCGAAGGTTATACTTGTTGGTTTTGGCGCATCACAAACCACTGAGTGTTTGTTTTGTTTTGACATCCACCTATGCCCATGCGCCCGCTCTGCAAACCAATGACCTCACGTTGAAGGATTTGCCTGTCCTAGGTCCTAGAGTTGCTCGATGACGTTCCTGTTTGCTTGCATGCAAGGGTCTTCAGATCCATGGCATGGTCCCGACCATTTGTTTGTGTATATACTCATCCTGAAGCACTTGATGTATACATAAAGTATGAAGGAACTGTCATATTGTTTATATATATATATTGTCCTTTTCAAGTTGGGATCTCAGCAAAATTGAATGTTATCCTTTAGTCATCATCAAAAGGTTGGGGCTTCGCAGAGCAAGATTGCTTTGGTGAAGCAACGCACCCCACTGGGATCCCTTAATGAACTCAATGTATATATATATATATGTACAAGTATAAGTACTGCAAGTTTGTCTAAAAATCTAGCAGCCACACTTAGCCTACTAGGGAGGGGTGGAGCGGGCTCTAAACAAAAAGAAAACAGGTTGCACGTGTGGCCAATGGCCTCCAACCTAGTACAGTAGTGTCCTTGTTGCTAGTATTAAGGCCAGTGCCCCTAGTGGCGTTCTTGCTCCGTTTGTAGGGATGCCAAATCCCATGGATCCGAGAGGTCATGGACATGGGCTTGGTGGCGCACTTGGCATCCTTGAAATCCTCGGTGCCTTTTGTTCACTTCTTCGACGGTACGTCACTGGGTGATCGATGGTCAAGGGTTCTATCTCAGGGGATTATGTGTTTTTTAATTAAGGATTTTGGATCCTCCAACTTCAGACATTTGAATTTGTGTGTGAGGTTGCTGTTTCTTGTTTTTAACCGTTTTTTGGAGTCCAGTCCTCAAACCCGCCATTCCAGGTTTTCAGTCGTTCTAGGTTGCAGCAGTCGCAAACTTTGTGCGTAAGATTCTGCAGGATAAACCTTATAGGAAAGGATCTGTTTGCCTGGTCTCAATAGTCTCTTGATCCACATCTTGGAATACCCAATGTCTCGACTTTAGTTTGAATAGGACCTAACTTTGCTGACCTAACAGAAGATCTTGACTCAAAGATGCCATACAACTGACGATCCAATGACAACTTAATGACAACACTACTCGTCATTCCGCGAGCACCGCTGGGCGGAGAGCATCGCTGCGGGGTACCACAGACCTGTATGCGAAAACTTGGAGAACACCTCAAAGAGGAATTATACAGTATATATTTTTTCAGGGAGTGTGCATGTTCACATAGAACTTCGAGTTCCAAAAGAACCACAAGGTCCAATCCTAAGGATACACTGGAACTGCACGGGATCTAACACCCTCGACCCTCTCAAGTTTGAAGAAAGCAAGGACACTGAGGTCAGAGTTTCTGCTTTACGTTCCAATGCGCCTTCCAAGGCGAACCAGTGGTGTCATCGAATGCGTGAAGCCCATCCCGTACAGCACCATGAAGAGCCTTGATAGCCTTTGGTGGTGGTGGCCAAGTCGAGGAACCACCAGGCAGCCAAACAATGAAACAAGCAATGTAGCTGAGTCTCTAGATTGATGTGGACTGCGATGCTTTGATGTTGCCGTGTGCCCTGACATGGATCGCAACCCTGATCAAAGTGGTGCATCAGGGACACCTGCCTTGACCTTACGTGTTTTCAGTTTAAACGGTTTTGGGTAGGTCAGCCTGGCTTACCCGAAGATTCCTGAAGAGACGCGAAAAGACCAGATTTTGCGAGGTAGTACCGTGCACAAAAGGTGGCTAGAGGTGGTCGATGGCCAGTAAGACCAGGAATGCAAAGAAGAAGAGCAAAACCAACATGTTCCTCTACGATGGGCAAACACAAATTAAGGTCATTTGAGTCATTTATATAAGGCCCCCTTTAAAGGAGACCTTGCAACCTTGCCTTCCTTTTCAACATTAGCTTGCTTGCCTTTCGGAGTCTCAACCTGTCAAGCTCTCCGGCATCGAACTCATTTGAGCTCCGATCGGCTGGACACTTGCGAGTGTGAGTGTGTGTGTATATGGCCGGGTGAACATGGATCACTTGGCCTTTCCAGTGTTGAATGGTTGCAGTTGAATGTGTAGGTGTCTAGATGTTGTCTCCAAAGGTTGGGCATGGTTTAGCAATAATGCAAGAAGGTGCATACTGCTCATGCTGAGGAGCATCGTGCCATGGGATGAGCTAGACAGCTTTCGTCTCTCGTCATTTGTACTTGAGCATTATTGAAGCTCCATTGACTTCAGGGAAAAAAACATGTGAACCAGTTGCATTGGTTTGGACCGTTTGGAACCAGGAAACTTCACTTGTTTACAGGAATGGTGTTTTGCCACAAGAGGCCCGAGGTGTGTAGAGTTCAATACCTTATTTGTCAAAGCTTTGATCACCAGACACCCAAAACATTTGTTGGTTAGTCTTGGTGTCTCTGAAGCAAGTGGAACATACCTGCACACAGACAATCAGATCATGGACTGCTTTGTAGAGGAAAAGGGCTTTGGAGGGTTTGATGCTCATCCTTCTTGGAGCATCCGAGTTTTGGGAAGATTCACCAACCCTGACATTGTTTGGATTATAGCGAAGCTATAGTTCTTTTCTCCACACAAAGGTTGGGGGCTGCTAATTCTTGTGTAGCCTCGTTTAGATCGTTTTAAGCAATCGGGCATGTGTTGGATGCTTTGGGTGATGCTTTGGAATTCCTGATTTGCTTCGTCAATATGTCAACATTGTGACTAGGAAAAGCGTTCAATGGTGGTTTGTATCCAAGACTTTGTTTTGCAAGAATGTGCATATACATTATATACATCTAGTCTAGAATTAGGTGAATTGGCTGTTCTTCTATGACATATTATCCAAGCAAATCAATAATGAATTTGTGTTGGGTCAATATGGGACGTTGCAAAGTTCCATCACATCGCACATTATTGAAATCTGTTCTAGTCGATCCCATTTCACTGTGGGGATGCACCAAATACTGCCGGACCGTCAAATAGTTTTCTTCGAAGTGTATATCCAGACAAAGGGCCAGAGGCAACACGGGATTCCCCGTGCAAGACACGGAAATGCATGATCTAGCTAGCTATGTCTAGCTCCCATATTCACGGTCATTTCAATGGTTGTCATTGCTTGTCGTGGTTGTTGCGCCTCATCCACGCAACGGTAGGTCAACGTGGGCTGAATCCTCAGCATCCCATGATGCGCGGACTGGGACAGGATCCGCATCTTGGCGAACGCGGCAGAAACACAACGTGGACTGTGAGACTCCAACCTATTAGTGATGACCTCCAACCTAATAGCGATTCCAACGCACCGCAGAATTGCTCAAGCTTTCGCAAAGGGTCCAATGCTTTCCAAACTAAGTGCGCGGGCGGTTTGCAAACTCAACCACCCTGATATCCGGAAGCTTTCGAGAGTCCCAACAACAGGGTGAATTAGGGCCCGACCAAGGTCCTAATTGGGTGTCAAGGCTACCAGTTTGGTACTGTGAGTAGTTTGGTGAAGCTTTAGCCGTTCATTCTTTGGCACCAACGCATTTGGTTCCCGTTCCTTATATGGGAGCAAGGGGCAGTTAAGTGGCGTGACTTTGTCCGCAAATTGTACGGGGGGGTGAAGCTTTAGCCGCGGAACGAGAAGCAAGGGTTGAATTATCCACCGAAATGTATCTAGCAGTAGGAACCCACCCCAATGTCTATCATGCCTCATCTTGTGGGCTCTAGTCCTTATTGCTTTATGTTTGCGCTGCGGTCTCTTTGGGGGTAATCCCAATTCCACTGACAGTTGTTCTTCCTGCCTCGTAGGCCTATGGGGTGATGTTACAGGGCCACCGCCATGGGATCATGAGGCTCCAGAGATATACCTTAAGATTTGACTCCAACAGCTGGTATGGCCTATCTGCCATAGGCAAGTGTACTACCAGTCTGCAGTCTCTGCCAACAAGTGTCTTGACTTCGGAGATGCTTTTGGATCGCAGTGCAGAGTCAGTTGGTGGAGGAATTGAACACACATGAACACAGAGGGTGGCTTCATGTGAAGTCCACCTCGAAGGGCACATTCTGGGATCCTGGAATACAGTGGTTTGTCCCCTGAAAGATCATTGAGGCCATGAGACCGGGACTGCTCGGGTGAAAGTGGCATCTTGGGCCAGAAAGGAACATGAATGTCATGAGCTTTCCAGACTTGCAGAGGCTTCTTGCGTAATCTGAACACGGAAGCTTCACATACTTTATCATGTTTTCAAGAAGATCTCCTGTGCACGCCAATTGATACGACACCAGCCGAAGCGCAGCTCAAATCAGCTAGTCTTAAAGCCTTTGAGGGGCTCATCAAAGTGATTTTTTGTCCGGGGTGGCACTGTCCATGGACAAGCTGGCGGTACCACTGTACCGCCTACAAGCCATACGAACCTGTTGATCGTGTATCCCACCATGTGTTTATGCATGAGAACTTACTGGTCCAGTACGTAGTCATGTGTCAATATTTGACGTGCACCATTCGTCAACACCCTTTGCTTAAGTCTGGGTAGAAAAGGCTTGGCTTGGTGGACAGTACGGAAAGCATACAGGGTCAGATTGGCTCAGGTACTATGACGCCGTGCCAGAGATTGTGCAGGAGGTGATGGATCAGGTGGCGGTCATCACAGGACGCCCGGGACCCAGCAAGAGGGAAACGGGGCCCGCTAAAGACAAACCAACATATCAATATCAACATCAACCAACCATGGCCCACCTGTGAGGTTGCAACACGTGGAGGGTCCTGAACGGTTGGGTTGTTGGCTGCTGTGACTTTCCTATTGAGCCTCATTGCATTATATCAGTACATGGGTCATAGGCACCAGTGACTTGGATGCATTGCTACCTGAAAGTCGTCAGGAAGTATATATATGAAATCAATTCAATGCTGATTTTGCGTACAAGGGTCATTATGGAATTCATTTAAATGGCCATTCATCATGAGGAAGATGGTGCATAGTGTGTGGTCACAGCGAGATATATATATATTATATAGTTGCTCCATGAGAGGTAGCAAGTGGATCACTTGGTTCTCTACGGGATCAAGCAAGGCGGTGACCGTCAGAAGTTAGTGAACTTCCAGGTTCGTGCAGTTACATGTCAGCGCGACGTCGTTCGCCAGTGGGATAAACTAAATAGATTCGTCTTCAAGGCGACCAATACTCTTTGAACGTCGTCATAGTAGGTCCCTGAAAACCTCGGGCCCAACTAGACCAGAAGTGCACATCAAGGACTGCTAAGTCCACCCTTATGCACTTCATATGCTCGGGCTGTCTACTGGGAGTATAAATTGTCTGAAATGAATTCTAGTAGCGCCTTGTTACTAGTAGTACTGTAAGGCACCTTGCTAATAGTAGCGATGCCCTTGTCTACTAATTCAAATGAAATGACTATCCGTGTCTCGAGGTCATTACAAGCTCTTTGAGTACTATGGGGATCCAGAGGCGCTTGATGAACAGAACCAGAGGAAGTTTTTGATTTGGTGTTTGTTGGTGTTATCAGTGTTATCTATATCAGCTCTGGGGGGGAGGTTGTCTAAAGCTGGATGTCAGGGAGGTCCTAGGATCGAAGGAAGTTCCAGATCTTTCCAATGATCATGAGGATTCCGGAGGTAATCCCATCTCCATGAGGAGTACAAGTCATTGACGCAACAGTTGTTCTCTTCCTGAAGCCTCAAATCGGTGGTTGTTCTGCTGGCAGGCGGAGCGAGTGGTTGTGCTGATGGGTTCAGCTGCCAAGACCGCGGAGGAAACCGTAGACTACTTGCGCGCTCGTGGAGAGAAGGTGGCTTTGGCAGGTTTTGTTTCTTTTGTGCAGCCACTGGTTGGTTGGTCAAAGTGTCCTCCCAAAATGCACTTCTTGGGCAAGAAAACCTGTCCCTCAAAAGAGACTGAGAGGGACAGTGTTGAGAAAGATTCGATCAGCAGGACCTAAGTTGACATCTAGTGACACTAGTGAACTGCATCTGAACATCCTGTCCGCTTTGCATGAAAACGACGTGGCCTCATCAGTTTCCAGCTAAACTCCAGAAATAAAGGCCTGTGTGAAAATTTGAACGCTTATGAACACCTGTGAAGATAGGTGAACCAGCAACTCCATGTGCGCCAACTTCAAATCCTATTGAGTCGTCATGAGAAAGCTATCTCCAATCTTCATGCCCAAAGGACAGAGTACTCTCCGCCCGATACTGAGAGTTACACACGTTACACACTAGTCACTAGTGTTTTATGGGAAAGTTATTAGCGTAACTATTGAACTGTTGCATGGTGAAGCAGAATGAGACCTGCTGCCACAAATCTTTTGGGGGGAGGGCTTGGACCTGTGGGCTTAGTTGGGAGATGATTGCTGTCATTATAGGGGTCAATAGATGGGTTTGTCTGGGATTTGTATAGTTACTGACATGCTAAATGTTTGGTGGATTTTGTTGGGGCTTGAGGGTATCAATTGTTGGCGCTTCAGATGATTTTGCGTGTTTTGCTTTGGAACTTTCTGTCTCTTTGGAATGCTTGCTGTATATAGCTATTTGTAGATATGTTCCTGTTTGTCAGGCTCCTGCGACCCGTAATCCATTCTTGGCTTGTGGGAGGATTACTGTAGGCTACTATATCAGTGTGAATCAGTGCCATTACCAACATTCCGCACATGGTATTCCTTCAATCTGCCCAGGAGACCAAATTCTGGTGTGTCCGACAATCCACAAATTGATTTAGTCCTTCTACTACCAGTTAGTCAGAGTGCATTGTTGCTCAGAATCAGACCCTGACTCATCATCTCCTTCCACTCAAACACTGTAACGCATTGTACGATGCACCTGTTTGGCTCTACAACTCCGATCGCCTTTGGTCATCTCTCATCTTTGGCATATACCAACTTCAACCGACTTGAAGGGCCATCAACAGTTCATCCCTTGTTATCCAACACAATGCTTCGTTTGGGTCGGATCATGCGTCTTAAGACTAACCCCCTAAGACTCGTTTCGCACCGACTCTCACGGGCTCGTTCTGTTCAAGAGAAGAAATGAGAGATAAAAAAGTGAAGGTGAAACATCGTGAGGATCCCTTTAAAGGGCCTTGCGGCAGGCCTTGCGGCCTTACCTTCCCCATCGAAATCCTTTGTTCATCCCTTCCTTTGAACATCGAACTGCTTCATTCCCCATCGCTTCAGGTGGGCATCCTAAAAGTCCATCTCTTCCGGCCTTTCTCCACCGAGCACTTTTTGGCCGAGCTCCCCGACACTGCCACTGGGCGCGTGTTTTGTTGCTTGTTTTCGGAGATCCAGACGCCACAGGGAAGGTCGACCGAAGCCATCAAAGCTTAAAGCTGCCATACCCTGATATACCAATGCAGCAGTGTCACATGTGTCACTTCAGCCAGCATCGGTCTCAGGGAAGCGAAATTGCACCAGCCAACAAGGTCTCGTTTGCTGAAATCACAAGCTGCTTCGAATCGGGACCAATGCATATTGCAGTGCATGGATGATGAAGATGTGCACGTACCTTGGAACGCTTGTAAATTGTGGTTGGCAACAAAACACCTGCAGAAGCGCATTGCATGTATTACAAGCAGATGGCCACCCAGAAGACAAAGGAAAACCTGTGGATGCAGGTCACTCGCGCAAAACTGAAGTATGGACAGGGATCGTCTCCAATTCAGATCGGTGTGGGAAGCTTCCCTGTGGTGGAGCCTGAAAACGGTAGCCCCACACTCCCAAACTACAGTATTGCTTGAAACTCGAGCATGTTCCAGATGTGTTCCAAAAACATCAGGACCCTAGGCAAAGTTCTTCAAGAGAAAATAAGTGGCAAGTCTACCTGTTCAGCCCTTCTTTGTGCATTGTGCGAGCATAGCATACCATGCAAGTCAGAGGTGAACGCAACCTTTGCGCATGTTCGTTGCTGAGACCATCAAACCCAGGATGAGAGAACGAGCAGATTCCCGGTGGGGCCGTGATGTCGTGCGCTTCAGGTGAAAGCGATCGCAGTTCTGGATCGGACCAAGGAGAGTTTCGGTCTGTGTGTTGGGCGTTGCGCCCATAAGAACTAACGGGGGGGGTTGTGGAACTTCCTGTTTTCTGGTCCCAAAGCCTGAAACTTAGTGAAGTCAGTTAAGTGAGTACAGCCTAGCACCTCGGCGTGCCTGATTGGTCTAATTGTTGTGCGATCTCCTCAGTCTTTCCTTTGTGTCATTTGCAAATACTGTCTCCATAACCCACGCCGAGGGCGCAAAGTGTCCTAAAGGATGGTGGCTCATGTGTGAAAAGCTGTGAAATGCACAAGGAACATGAATCATTGAAATACATACATTATAGTTATATATTGAAATTAACATCTTCTTCATCCATCCAATGTTTGTCACCAGAGTTACATGGTCATGGTGGGTGGTTCCAGCTTCACCAGAAGAGCAGTTTTTTGTCGAGGAGGATTTGGCTCCATCACTGCCACTTCATGCTGACGTTTTGACCGCCATGAGCGAGGCTGGAGCACCAACAGGTAGTCAAGGGAGTCCCTTTTTCGTGAAAGAATCTACAATTTAACCTTAGGTGTGTGAAAAGCAAACACTAAACAAAAGAGTCAAGTCAAGTTAAGGGTCTATTCCATTGAGGTCCGTGTTAGGAAAGTATTTTTGGTTGACAACCTCGGTTTTGGGCTCTTAGATGGATCTGGAGTCTTGATTCTGGACTCCCCTTGAGCATTTTTGGTATGCTTCTACCATTATTTTGTCAACCGGAGCAGCGCAACGACTATACACATCGCGCCCACACTCCGTGAAGGTAACAATGACATGATCTATGCAAATGGCCTGTTTGAGCCGGAAGGTTCGCCACACTCACATTTTGATGGGCAGTTGCTGTGCTACTTGACGAAACCTTCGTGATCTCGATAAAGACATTCTGACTTTTGGAACGGTTGAATGAATGGGCCTGCAAATACCTGCACTGTTTGCGCGTCATATCCATGCAAGCTCCATGTCCCTGAAGAGGCGGGTGTCTACAAGAAGGTGGTGGGTGGCAATTATGGCCTCGGAAGCAAAGAATTCGCACCAAGCTCCTTGGCTTGCGAAACGTCCCTGCTGTGAGTCTCATTGTGAGTGCAAAGTTCTTTAGCTCGTGGACCCGGGTCGTTGTGGCCACTCCCTCGATATGGATGATATAGCACCCAAGCTTTGGGCTGTGCGATCTGCCTGGAGGCCAGTCTAGAGAGACTGTAAGAAGAAACCGACTTGCATTGACTTGCATGGCAACTCAAACGACCTTGACAATCATGACAGCGCAAATGTTCAAAGGACATGTGAAGGCTGTCTTCGACAATCTGCAGAACGAGGCTGTCCATCGAACGTATACGGGACATCGCTGGAGCGGAGCCGAAGAGCGCGATGGGTTGAAGAAAACAAAGATGTAGCGCCTCAAAAGAAAGAAGCCCAAAGTATTCCTCACATAAACTGGCAGCGGGTCTTGAAGTGAACTGGAGGATCAGGCTGACATGTTGGACTGTCAAGGTGAGAGCTGCCAGGTAGAAACCAAGTCAACCGCAAACCTATCCATTGCTGGCAAATGGATGGGCATAGGAAGATCCATCTACACAGTAGGGTGGCTAAAGTACAATATCATACAATATCACTCGCAAGATATTTACTCTTAGGGAAGGAATAGCTGCATGGCCTCATGTTTTTCTCAGAAATTGGTGGAGTTCTGAGTTTCGACAGGTGTTAACTTGGCATGTTTTGTCACATTTGCAGACAAGGACGTTACTAGGAGGAGGCCAACGCTATTAGGTTGGAGGCCATTACTACTAGTAACAAGGACGCTATTAGTTGCAAACGTAATCAGGATCTCCGACATCTTTAGCGCTCACGGGTGCTGAAGATGTCGAGGTCTCAGTTTGTCAAGCCCCGACATATTTTGCAATGGGCAACCCCAACCAAAGTGACCTCAACCAGAATATTGTTTCACTAGGCCATGCTTACTATCATCGTCCTAGGGGCTTTTGGTCGCCACGTCGCCCCATGATCATCAATGACCTGGTTTACTAGAAGGAACGACTCTGATAGTGCTGGGACAACACTCAGAATCGCTATGTTGCACAAGATTGCACAAGTTTAATATTTGCAGTGAGTAGGACATCCTTGGGGTTGATTGCACGCTTTGTTTTGGTCGTGCCAAGGTCGGTGCACAGATAAAGAGTAACTGCTTCCTTGATTCCTTTACCTCTCTTTGGATGACTAAAATCAGTCAAGTCAAATCATTCCGAAGTTGTTCCAAGCGGGCAGTAGCCTGCGATAACCAATGTTGTCGCCAATCAAAGGGCTGCAGTATCCCCACTTCATCACCACTGGGCGTGAGCCGGCTACCATCAGTCAGAGTCTGAAAGGTGCCCAAGAAGCACTTTACCGTGGGCATCAACGACGATGTGACGCACAGCAGCCTGGAGATCGGGCCAACCATCAACACCCAGGATCCAGAAGTCACGCAGGCGGAGCTGCTCAAGTCGACAGTTGGTTGACCTCGGTGTCTCGCCCAGTTCCAGCGAATCCCACAAAACGCGCCACCGTTTTCACATATACGATCATTCCTTCAACAACTTTGTGTTTGACCCAAAGGTCTACAAGAAGTCTGTTGGTTCTCCATGTATACATGTATAACTTTAAATAACTATATATATAGGTTGTTTAAATATTAAACATGGTGATGAGTTCACTTCAGTGCTGCAAAAACACGTGTCGGAGGATGTCGGAGGTGTCGAACCTATTTTTATTTGGAGTTCGTAACCACACGAGGCCAGGAACCTTACCGCTACATTGCTGTTGCAAGATACTGAAGGCTTGGCTGAGGTATGCTGAGTATTTTCCTTGGTTTGTCGTGCGACAGGTGCTGGTGGAGTGATTCGAGTGCTAGATTAATCATGATTTATTAATCAGTCAGTTTTGTGAAGCTGGTGGCTTTTCCTCCACGGTCACGGTCCCGAGAAATTTCCCAATTTGCCTTTCTACGCCTTAACCTGCGGTGAAAAGAAAACCTGAAATCTTCAAAGAGCGAGAATAATCAGTCAAACTTAGCGGTCATGCGCGCAAACGGCCGCAGCGGCGGTGAGCAATCCGCAAGAGTCTGTGGGACTGTGCCCCTCCATCAAATCAACGCACTATGTAGTGCCACGTCTGCTTCAGTGGTCTGGCCATATCATTCACAGTACAAATGGGACGACGCTGATAAAAAAAAAACGCAACAGAAGACGACGAACCTCACAAACACTCGCATCAGACCACCGAACCAGAATGCCAACCTGTGGGACCAACCCCCTTGCAGAGAGGTTCAAACCCCAGGTTTCAGACAGAACCATCCCCATCTCATCAGCAAAACTCCGAACAAAATCACGAACATAACGAACAACCATCGCAGCAGCTGTATGACGCTGTTCAGTTGCTGTGTGTGCTGGAATGTGTTTGCACTGAAACTTTCGAGAGGAAAGAACTGCAAGACAGTCTCTGCAAGCCATTCCAGACATCGTCATGTGTGTCGTATGGAGGCATAGTGGGGTCATCTTGCAGTTGCCAAATTCCTACGGCAGCATACGAACTGTCGATCCAGACTGTGGTTCCGTTTGGCCTCTCACACAGCCATAGCCATTGGAGGACCGAAAGAATAGCCAGGCCTCTGCTCTGTCTACTGTCTGGCTGGGTCCTGTCACAACCCTGAACACAAGCCCTTTCCAGTGGTGGCACAAACGCTGGCAAAAGTAGCTAATGAACATTCAGGCCATTCCGGTTTGAGGCAGCTGCCATCAGTGAAGAGTCAAGCCATTGCTCATCATCAACAGGGCATGGTTCATACTCAAAAGAAGGCGCACCTACAGGCCCAAACTCATCTAACCAGGCAGCCCAGTGAGGAAACTGCTGTGGCAGAAGGCAGTGTCTCTGCGCAATCGTTAGATCAGGCCACTCGTGCAAAGCCGATAAACATCGGCCATCGGGCGACAAGACGTGCAACTGTGGTCAAGATTCAAGATCATTCCGGCAAGCGGCATCAATGGCACAGCCCCGTTTGGAAGCAGTCGAAGCGCTGCTTCTGCGTCCCTTCTTGAAGTGACGCAATCTGGGCCGCCTCGAACGCTGTGAGTCCCTGCCTCGCTCGAACAACTGTCGGCCTGTCAATGGTGCACACTCCCTGAAAATCATTC